CAGCAGGAATCCGTCATATGGTAGAAATGGTGCCTTTGTAAGAGAGCTTGAGTAGGGCAGCAGGCACAAGGAAGAGACATGAACAGGTAGCTTAGGTCCCCATGTGACTTGCAGTGTTTATTATATATTTTAATGTCTGCCCCTCATTTCTTATCCATGGCCTAATTGAGAGTTACTATCACCCACTGATAGGAGAAGAAAATGCTTGCCTCTGGGTTTTGGACTTATGATGGTGTGAGATGAAAAGAGGTTAATGCCAAGCAAATGTGAAGAAAGTTGATGGTGCCCAGCTATCAAAAGATAAGCATCTGGGGTCTTAAAGGCTTGAAGTTAAGCAAGTAGCCCTCTAGCAGGGAAGCAACAAAGTCCACATGGAAGAAGCACAGCAGCCTGTGTGATCATGAGGTATAGACAGGATCAGGTATCAGAAGATCCAAATCAAACAATCATATTGAGGTGAATGAGGGAGGTTAGAGTGGAGACCCAAGGCCATCTGTCGACAACTGGACATTTCCTCACAGAAAGGTCACAGGGAAGGGATGAGTCAGTCAGGGTGCAGTATACAACATTCCTCTAGTTCTTTAATGCTTCCTTCCCCAATTATCATGACCCAGTTCTATCTTACAAATCCAGCTAGACCGAAGTATGTACATTGGTACAGATAAGAGCTCTCAACACACAGAATCCAGGACAGATAAATCCCTCGGGAACAGTAATGGGAGTAGTGATATCAGGAGGGTAGGGAGAAGGTGGGGGGGTGGGGAGGGAGAGAAAGGGGAAACTGATCACAATGATCAACATGTACCCCCCCCACCAGGGGAACAAACAACTAGAAACCGTGGGTGAAGGGAGACAGTGGACGGACGGATGGACGGTGTAAGATATGAAAATAATATTTTATGATTTATCAAGGGTTCACAAAGGTGGGAGGGTGGGAGAGGAAGGGAAAAAAGAGGAGCTGATACCAAGGGCTCAAGTATAAAGAAAATGTTTTGAAAATGATGATGGCAACATATGTAGAAGTGTGCTTGATACGATTGGTGTATGGATTGTTATGAGCGTTATGCGCCCCCAATAAAAATGATTGAAAATCAAACAAACAAAAAAGAAAATTGGTCAATGCCATAGTACAGCCATGCTGAGAGGATGCTACGGAGGATGTTGGTGAGGGGAGGTCCTCCCAATGAATATATTTGTTTAGAGGGAAGTGGCTTCAGGTGGAGGGGTGGGCCTTGTATTGTCATAGATTACATACTGGGCTATTAACCACAAGGTCCGTAGTTTGAAACCACCCACTGATGCTCAGGAGAAAGATGAGTCTTTCTACTCTCATGAGTCCTGTCTTGGAAACCCCCAGGGCAGTTCTGCTCTGTTCTGTTGGGACACGAAGCAGCGGAATTGACTTGATGGTAGTGAATTTTGGAATTTGGTGAGCCCCTGGGGCAGTGGCGACTGGTTTGGCTTATTGAAAAGAGACAGACACAGAGGAGACACATGTGGGTACACTATGGGACTGGGAAAAAACATGTGGATCTTTGTGTGTTAATGTCCCCCTGTGAGGGGGTATGCAGCCCACCACTGTCCTCGGCTGTCTCAGTGCTTGTTCAGCATGCCCTGAGGGAGCAGTCACAGTGACAGAGGTGGGAGGCATGTCTGGGTTCAACAGCATGGGTTGAACCCCACCATTTCCAAGCCTCTTCTAGCTATTGTAACTGCTGAAATCCAACAGTGGCTTGATTATATTGGGTTTCTTATGCAGGTGGAACAGCTTTTCAAAACTAACAGGTGTGATAAGCCACAATTATTTTCAGGAGCTTGGGTTGCTGCTATATGTGGACGTACCCCCCACCCCCAAAATGGAATTGTGCATTCGAGTGGTATCACCTGGGAAGGTTCTCTCTGGTCACAGTGAATTTTTTATAAAAGCAGTTTCATTCAAACCTTGTATTGTGATGGCCGATTTAAGTGGGCGGCTGTGAAAGTTTGTTTCCTATTCGGGAAAAATACTGCAGAAACTGTTGTGATGTTGAAAACAGCTTACAAGGACAGCACTATGGGAAAAACTCAAGTGTATGATTGGTTTCTCATTTCAATAAAGGTGAAATGTTGATTAATGACAAACCTCATTCTTGACATGTCAATTTTTCAAGTGGATGAAAATGTGGGCTCTGTCAACTCATAGTGCATGTAGAGTTCGTTCCACCAGTTCAGACTGTTAATCAAGTTTTTTTATTTAGAGGTTCTGGAAAGATAGCATAACAGTGTATGATAACAAAGGCCTAATTTGTGGCAGATGGAGGACTGGTTTTGCCACCACGACAATGCGCCTGCTCATGCAGCCATTTCACTGCACCAGTTTTTGGCAAAAAGCAACATACCTCTCTTGCCCCATGCACCTTACTCACCTGACCTCGCTCTGTGCAACTTCTTTTTGTTTCTTAAAATAGGAGGGACATGAGAGGACAGTGAATTGATGATATAGAAGAAACGTAGAAAACAATAAGGGGAGTACTGTTAGCTATCCAAACAGATGAGTTTGTAAAATGTTTCCAGAATGGAATCACAGATTTGACAAATGTTTTAAGTGTAATAAAGTTGTTCTGTAAAAAACTTTAAATACACAGCTTTGAAAAAATGTGTTTGGGGGGTTCCCTCTCATATGTGGAGCCTAGAGGAGTGAGGTCTGAGACTGGAGGGTGTCACTAGAGCATTTTGGTGCTTCCAAGTCCAAGTCCAATGAGCCCTGGTGACACAGTGGGTGATGCACTTGGCTGGTAACCACAAGGTCAGCAGGTCAAACCCAGTAGCTCCACTCCCAGGGAGATGTCTAATCTGCTCTCATAAAGATTTACAGGCTCAGAAACCACACAAGGGTGCTTCTACCCTGTCCTATAGGGTCTCTGTGAATAGGAATTGATTCAGTGGCAGTGAGATGTCCAATGATGCTGGTGAACAAGAAGAGCAACCCAAGTTTGACAAAGCAAGGTTCCTAAGGGCCTGCACCCCTAAAGGATCATGGTCATAATGCTGTGGTTGAGGTCCAGTGAGTTGATTCTAACTCGTAATAACCCCGTGAGACAGAGCAGAACTTCTCCACACGATTTTCGAAACTCATCTTTATGAGAACTGCTGGCTGCATTTCCCCTCCTTCCTCTGAGCTCCTAGGTATGTTTGAACCACCAACATTACAGTTAGAAGGTCCCACTAGCAGGCAAGAAATCGAATCAGCTTATGCTAGGTAAAAGTGAGGGAGCCCAAGAATGGATGGTAGCAGGAGGAGAAGTGAAATTCTGCTGTCAGCCTGGGAAACCAAAGTAGGAACGGGGAACTGTCGCTCATAGCACTAATATTGCCTAGGGTCTCTCTTGCAGAGACTGCAGCCTAGATTTGACGGTATGGCACACGGGCAGTGCCAACAGCAGATGGTGGCAGACATGTCTGAGACTCTGCACTGCATTCCATGACCCAACTCCGAGTTCATTTCAACGTAGGCTCACAATGCTGCACCTTAAGGGTGTGCCGTTTGTCAGCTTGCTTTCTGTCCCAGGCCTTCTCTGGTATTTCAGTAAACTTTGTTCCCGGTTAAGGACTTTGAGAAGAAAAGAGGAGGAGGCTAAGGCGAGGAGGAAGGGAGATGGTGGGAGAGATGAATAAAGGCGCCTCCTGGCTTTGCAGTCCAGGGTTGGCACACTATGAAATACTGTCTAAAGGGCATCCCCTGGCTCCCTGCCATTTTTAGGATGGACAGTCCGTTGTTGCTGATGACTCTCCGGCTCATACAGGGCAGGCCCACATGGTTTCCAAGGTTGTATTCTTTACAGGAGCAGGTAGCTGGGTCTTTGCTCCATAGAGTGACTTGTGAATTCAGACTCACCTTTGGGTTCGCAGCAGAGTGCTTAAGCACTGTGCCACCAGTCTCCCTGTTTTCAAAATACCCCCCTGGTTTTTTGCCAGCAGCCTCGCTAATCCCGGCCTTTCTCTCTGGAGGACTCTGCGACCATGAGCTCTCTTGTCCTTCCTCAGCGCCCCTTCTGTCGGCGATGCTGGCCTGCACCGTGGGTAGTCCTTGCAAAGGAAGCCTCTGGAGGAGCCTTCTCTCTTCCTCTGCTCTTCTCTGCAGTTGCATCGCACCTGGAGCTTACCAGTACTCTGCGTATTTGCCTTCATTGACATCCTTTCTCTGGAGCTCGAGGGATGCCGTGTTCCTAGCCTGGCCACCGCAAGACCAGGGCACTCAAATAAGGATCGCGTAGATTTTCTGTCGGGGAAACCCCAAAAAGGGTCGCCAGGTGCGGGGTGTGTGTGTGTGGATTCAATGGTAGTGAGTTTGTGGCTCCTTTATTCCACGGGGCATGGGTCTTTGGGTCTTCAACGCCTAGTATGGCTTCTGCTTCACAGCAGGTACTCCCTCCGTGCTGTTAGTCACTCGGAATTGAGTCCATAGGCGAGACACGCCCTCCCCTCCCCCACCCCACCCACCATTCTGCAATTGTGGGACAAGGCCACGCTAGCATTTCTGCACCCATTTGGGGCACGAAACCGGGGCACCCTCCAGCCTGGTGCCCTGGGCGACCGCACCCCGGTGCCCCACTTGCAGGGTTCAGCTAATCGGCGTACTCCCTGGGGCCTCCCACTGACGCTGCAGCTGGAAGAAGCGAGCGCGGCGAGCACGAGGTGCTGGACGCCGACAAGGCGCATGCGCGGCGCGCAAACCCCGGGCGGGGCTTGGGAGAGTCCAAAGAGAGGGGAGGCCGCTGTGCCTGGGACGCGCGTTCTTCCGAAGAGCGAGGTGGCGCTGATCCTTTCAAGCCTCCCCCGCGTCTTCCCCTAAGCGGTGCTGCAGGACATGCAGTTCGACGGCGGTCGAGGAAGGGCCGAGAGGTTGGTCAAATTCACCTTTGTCCTTGGCGCCCCCCCTGCCTTCTGGGGCAGTGGGTCGGGCGGCGCCGGGGCGGGGCGCGCGGGGGCGGAAGCAGCAGCCCCAGCGGCCGCGGCGGCCGGCAGAGCTGGAGAGGGCGCTGGGCGGAGCGGCCATGGAGGGTCAGCGCTGGCTGCCGCTGGAGGCCAATCCCGAGGTGAGCCCTGCGCCGGGCCACGCGCGGTAGGGAGCTGCGCTGCTGCCGCGGCGAGTCTCTCAACCCTGTTCTCTGTTTGTTTTCAGGTCACTAACCAGGTGAGTGGAGGTGCCTGTCGCTGGGGAGCCCAGCCACCTTTCTTCCTGCTCGGCCTGCATCCCCGCCCGGCTCCGCTCCGCGCTCCCTGGGGGTCTGGGATCTCATTCCGTAAGCCCCCCCCGCCCCCCACTCCGGTTCGGCTTCGGAAGAGCCCACCTCTTCCACGGCCCGCTGCGTGCCACCTGGCTGCCCGAGACACCCCCAGCAGCCTCCGTGCCTCCGCAGCCCTCGTGCCCAGGTCACCACGTATCAGGGCCTGAGGCTGAGTGACGGCCATTCCCTTCCCGACGGTTTGCTACCTGCCAGTGCAAATTCCATCCGTTGCCTTCACCTGCACCTCCTAAGTGACTAATTTGCCTGCACTTCCTGCCTCCAAGCTTCATACACTCGCCCACCCAGCCCTTGTAATTTCATCTGCCGCCCGCACTGTGAAGTCACCTGCAGGTGCCCCATCAAGTCACTGCTCCGGCGTGCCACACCCCCTTTTCCTCTCAGTTTTGTTTTTTAATTAATCTGGAAATGTAGTTGTTTTTATACCATAGAAAGCCCAGCATTGTAATTCCCACGCCATTCTTTGCCACCCCACAGCTTGGAAAGTCATTCTGGGTATTGGAGGTGGTGGTGTGGGGACTGAGGAAACATCTCCCAGACACTTGACTGGGGGCGTAGTGGGCTAAGCTTGGGCTACTAACTGAAAGGTCAGCAGTTTGGAACCTCCAGCCGCTCTGTGTGAGCAAGATGAGGCTTTCTATTCTCCTCCTCACAGTTAAAGTCTCAGAAGCCCTAGTTTATAGCCCGAGTTCTGGTTTTCAAACGTTCTAACAAATACAGTATATAGGGAAAAGAATTAGATATGCGTGATCTTAACATTAGCAAGAAACCCTTTTCCTTCTTAGTCATATTAAGTATATACTTTTAGAATGAATATTATTCCCCCAACCCTTATCTCTTTAATAATATGGAAATGTAGAAAGTGTAAAATCTAGCATGATTTATTATTATGGCTTACTGTCTTTCCATATTCATTTTCTTTTTCCCTCATTTTGAAGTTTTCTCTTTTTCCGAACTTGTTTTTTCCCCTTTGTCAAGAGATGCCTTCCAGGCTGAAGGCATCAGTATTTGCAATTAATAATAATTCAGTATCATAGGAAGTAAACACATTCTCTCAGACCTAATCGTAGATTATTCTTAGGTCTTTGTGAAAAATTAATTATCAAAAATCTGGACTTCCATTCTGTTCCATTGATCTGTGTGGCCTGTTTGTTGGCCAGTACCAAACTGTTTTGATTACTGTACCTTTATAAGTCTTCACGTTAAATAGTCTGAACCTCCAATAAGGCTTTCCTTGTTTGGTATTGTCTGGGCCATTATAGTGACTTTGCCTTTCCATAGGAAATTTGAATCCATTTCGTGATTTCTACAAAACATCCTGTTATGATTTAGATGATGAAGCAGTTGAATCCATTGAAATACTTTTGAGGAGAACTGATATCTTAAAAATGTAGACATCTGTCATCCATGAAGATGGTATACATCTTTCCATTTACTTAAACCTTTGATTTTTATTAACAGTGTTTTGTTGTTTCAATATGTGGATCTCCCACATATTATTAGATTTGTATCTCAGTTTTAGTATTTTGGGTGCTATCATAAATGGGACTGCTTTTTAAATTTCTGTTTTTTAATTTTCCATTATTATGAGGCATTCACCAGATTACGAACAAGTTTTGTTCTTAAATCTGCCTTTAATTCAAAGTCATTTGTAAGTCAGAACAATGAGATATGGTTCATACTTAATAGCATCAGTTAATTATGTGTTTGCCTTTAGTATAGAGTGTACATTTCTGTGTGTAAAAAACAAACACTTCCAGAAGTATCAAACCAGTGCTTCTCACAGTGGGCCTTCCCATCCCATGCAGATACTTACAGTTTATCTTGGATGATGAACTATGGACCAAAAGTTTTTAATTGCCCAGGGTGGGGGTACGCGAGTAATTTTTTTTCTTTTTCTGAAAAGCAGGCGGTGGGCCAATTAATTGTAGGAACCTATCCACTAAAGCATCTTTAAGATGATAACACAGTAATGATGATGATCATTTATTGATGCACATTGCAAAGTAGCACCTATTTGTTATTAAGCACCACTTTGTGTGCCTTGAATTTTGTAGTGGTTGACTTAGAACTCGGTCATAGTAAGTTAGGCTGCCCCTAAGTTGGGTGTCTATAACCCACACGTTGCCTATAGATAGAAATATAGCGGTTTTTTGTATGTTGACTTTATATCCTGCTTTCTTTGCTATATTTATTTGTTTCACTGGCTTTATTTTGTTGTGGTTAGGTGCTCTGCCATTTTCTATATAAGCAACTGTGCAATGAATAGACAGTTTTATTTCTTCCATCTTGCCTAATCAAATGGACTAGAGCCTCCAATACAAACAGTAGTAGGAGTGGTGAGAGAGAACGCCCTTGTCTTGTACCTGATTTTAGGGAGAAACATTTGATTTTTCTCCATGAGGCATGGTGCTAACAGTAGGTGTTTTGTAGGTGCCTTTTCAGACTAAGGAGGTTCCCAAGGAGCCTGGGTGCTACAGTGTCATATACATTGTAGGGTTATACATTGGGCTAGTAACCTCAAGGTCAGCAGTTTGAACCTACCAGCCCCTCCACAAAAGAAAGATGAGGCTTCTGCTTCCATAAAGATTTATAGACTCAGAAACCTACAGGGGCAGTTCTACTCTGCCCAATAGGGTTTTCTAATGGACTCAGTGAGGAGCACTGGTGGTGTGGCGGTCATGAGTTGGGCTGTAATCTGAAAGGTCATCATTCGAAACCACCATCCGCTCTATGGGAGAAAGACAGGGCTTTCTACTCCTGTGAAGAGTTAGTCTCAGCAACTCACAAGGAAGTTCTTCCCTGTCGTATAGGATCACTCTGAGGAGGCATCAACTTGGCAAGTGAGAGTTTGAATAAGGAGAAGCTTCCCTTCTAGTTTACTGAGACTGTCATGCATCAACGTTGAGTTTTCTTAAATATGTTTTCTGTTTTTATTGGGCTCTGACCATGGAAGGAAGCAACCATACCAATCCTGCATCTCTGTAAATTGAATACCTAAGCATAAGGAGGTAAACATAAGGTGAGAGAAATTTCCCAACTCATGACTTCAGCACAACCCTGATTCCAAAATCTTAACCAGGACGTGATAAGAAAAACAGCAGAGCAGTATCGCTCATGAACCTTGATGGAAAATAGCCCTAACAAAATAATGGCCCACAGGATCCTGCAGCATGTAAAAGGGATAAAACATCGGAAAGGAGGGGAGCAGTTTGTCCTGATACTGCAAGGCAGTATCCCTTCAAAATTCTGTCCCTTCAAAATTCAGTCAAAATAATTCACCATTGGAACAGATTATAGAACATACTTGTTTTTAGATGATGCTGTTTTGTTTTTGTGTCACTCTAAAGTTCTTTTCTGTAATTGCGCTGCTATCAGACCTTGTTCCTAAGTGAGGTTGACCGATGCATTCGCTCATTCACATTAATTTAATAATACTTGTGAGCCACAATCGATGAAGCCAGCTGTCTAAGCAGGAGCTCCAATCACTGCCACCGAGCCAATTCCGACTCACAGCAAGTGGCACTCGGCAGTTTCCAAGGCTGAAATCTATATGGGAGCAGACAGCCTCATGTTTCTCCCAGGGAGCTGCTGGTGGGCTTGAACTGCCAGCCTTGTGGTTAGTCATCCAACACTTCGCTGACAGTATCTCCAGAGCTCCTTGTGGTAAATAATGTCCTGCTTTTCCATCCGGTAGGGAAGACAGACTACAAACAAATCAGCAAATAATTAGCTATTATTGTCAGTATAATGGGTGCATGGGAGTGCTGTGATGGAGACTGGTTGGGAAAAAGTAATAGGTTGGCTGGTGGCAGGAGACCGTGGCATCCACAGAGATAAGGTATCGCTTCGTATCTGATCGAACCCTTTGACTGGCATGCTTTGGAGGTGGCTCAGTTTGTTTTAAGCGTATTTATGAAAGAATGTGCTTTTAGTTCAGGGTGATAGGCAAGCATCTAAGAACTGGTTAGTCTTAGCCAACATGATTGTGGTTTCTTAATGTTCAATAGGTTGGTGGCAGCTGTGAGAAAATGAAGACATTGAATTAATTGTCTTAAATCCTGAAGAATGCATGCTATAAATTTGTTTGATTTGCTTCTTTTATTATTTAAGTTATTCTTACTATTTATTGCTTGTTTATTAAGCAATAAGCAGATAAACTCCAAGAACAATAACCACCCCCACGTTCTCTCCCTCACTTGGATGTAACCATAGGCCTCTGATTTGTTCTTGACCTCTGTTACCTTTGCGTCTGCGAATTTTCTGCTTTATGTTCTAATGATGGCTAGTGTGTAAGAATGGCCAGCACATGTCTACGGCATGTTATTAGGCATAATAACTACTGACTACTAATTATAGACACAGTAACTACTGACTGTCTTGTCTCGTTGGTTAGTGTGTGGCAGCCTTTTCCTTCTGAGGGTATTTTTTTACGATGGGGATAGGACCTAACTAGAATAACGTCAGCCGAAGGTTAGGAAGGAAATCCCCAAACCGAGAACAGCGGTGAAGAGTTTGACACCAGATGGGCAGTGTCTCGCTCTGCGGCCAGTGCGTAGGCTGTTCTGATCCGCACCCAGCAACAGCACAAAGGTTAGAACAACCAGAAACTGGAGCTCAGCGCTACTGACATGTGTGTTTAGAAGGGTAGACCCAGCTTGAAGCCGATGGAAAGTTCGTTAGTTGAGCATCAGGAGTTGAAACCTTCTTAAAAATACAGTCTGTGACACGGGCAAGTCCAGTATTTAGTGGCCACACCAGTTCTTCATTTTCACGGATATTTTCGACTTGTGGTTTGAGAACCCCTCCACCCCAGCAACAGTATGTACGGTGTATTTTAAATATCATTGAGCTTTAAGGCCAATGATTTTTGGTCTAGAACTCCCCG